TTTTTAAAAACATTATTTATTTTTTTGTGGTTTTTCAATTGAATTATACTTAAAGTTCAGGATAATCAATTGTTAAAAACATACAACACATTTTTTTTCCAATAAATGTATGTTTTTAAAGTGAATGGATAATCGTTTTTAATAATCGTGATATCAATTATTGACCCAAATAATGGAGATTATGATTTTTGCCATAATCGAGCAGCCCTAGGCTCAGGTATTAGCTGTGAATTTCCCAGAAAGAAAACCCTATCATTTGGTTTTCAAACAGACATTTGGGATGCCATGGGGGACACAAGTTTGCAAATATTGTTGTAGTTCTCCAAAGCTGCCACTAGAGGTCAGTACAACTGGAAATCATACTGCTGGTTCCTTTCAAATGGTTTGGATGTAAACATCTTGAACATGGTAGGACATTTCATTTAGTCAAAGTCTCATTGTATATAGTCCGACTCCTATTATACAAACACATGCATTTTCAATAAAGCCCTTACCAAGATCTTTTTACATAAACAGACATGCTGTGCTTTGGACTCACTCCTCGGGGGCTGAGTGAGTCCATGTGTTTTACTTATTGGTTTAAATGCATGTGTTTGAGACACAGTGGGCTTACTCCTGCATAAGTGAGAATTGTGGAGTTTTTAACAAAAGTTTTGATGTAGTTTTGTTGTTTTTGCTTCCCCGGTTTACTTCAATTCATCACGACTTTTCTCCGTGAAGGACTTCAACAAAACAAAACGAGTTCAAAGTAACACGCGGTGAGTAATTGATGGACAAAGTATTTCCCTTTAACCTGAGATGAAAGAGTTCCTGGCTGCTTGAGGACCGGCTCAGAAAAAGCCTCACTTTATTCTACAAACTAGAAACCAAGCCTTCAGGATCAGAGCCTCTGAACGCAGCCTCCGGAGGAACAGCTGTTGAAAGAACGTCCTCTAAAGGAAGTCAGACCTTCCTCCTTCAGCCTGTTCCTGAAACTACAAGCCTGTCTGTGCACCTGCAGCTTCAATAAGCAACACTTTCAACGGTGATAGAAGAACTGTACATTCAGACATATGCAAATCAGCATTAAGAGTGTATTAGTACTGAAACAGCACTGTATATATTATTGTTAAACTGTACATACAAAAAAAACATATATTGGATAATTTAATTCTAATGTTTACATGAATATCTAGCATTTATGTAAATATATATATTTACTTTAGAGTATATTTTCAATATTGTTCTTTCATTTCATCCCAAATTTCCACAATGTAAAGACAAATAATTTGACTACTAAATCACAAACACTCCAACATACTTTACTACAAACATATCTCCACCACAAACATATCTCCACTGACATCCCGTCCATCATCTTATGTCTCTATTACAGCTGCACATGTAGCATTGCGTTCCCTATTTATCCACACACACACACACTCCCCCCCCCCACACACACACAGGCTCAATCACATAACGGTGTGTGAGCCTGTGTGCATGCTGCCAGAACATCTTGTGTTTCAGGGACTAACTGACTCCTGACAGCGAGCCATCAGCTGCCTGCAGGAAGTCAACACGTCGTACACACACACACACACACACACACACACACACACACACACACACACACACACACACACACACACACACACACACACACACACACACACACACACACACACACACACACACACACACACACACACACACACACACACACACACACACACACACACACACACACACACACACACACACACACACACACACACTCTCTC